TTCAGTATTCTCCTCCAACACCACAACTCAAAGGCATCAATTCTTCTACGATCTTCCTTATTCACTGTCCAGCTTTCGCATCCATATGAGGTTATTGAATGCATGGTGGTATAGCTTCCATCATTACAGCAACACACACGTAGGATAAACTGACAGACAGGTGGTAATCTATAAATACTAAAATTAGTTGCCATTGCATTGATTTTGACTCCTAGAGCTGCCATGTGTGTCAGAGTAGAACTGTGCTCCATGAAGCTTTCAATGGGTGAGTTCTTTTAAGTAGAATATCAGACCTTTGTTCCAAGGGGCCTTTGGGTGGACTCAAAACTCCAGCCTTTTGAGTTAGCCGCTGAAGGCATTATCCATTTGCATTACTCAGGGATTCCTATATATAATTGTTGTTATTGTTAAGTGCTATCAAGTTGATTACAACTCATAGTGATCCTATTTTCAAACTGTAAATTAAAATTTTTTTTTTTACTGTGAATTGGGTGAAGGTTTACAAAGCAGATCATCAGTTTTACATTCAACAAATCATACACTTCATTTCATTACAATGACTGCAATCCCTCCCGTCAGTTCCCATCACTCCCTCTCTACATAATTATTTACTACTTATTTGTGTATGCTAATAAAAAGGGGGCTAGAAGGGTGCTAACAGTGAACAGTGGTTACCTCCAGAGGATGAGCAAGATTAAGGAAGTGCGGGAGGACATTAAAAGAGACTTCTTCATTCTGTTTAACATTCTGGATGAACTGCAATCTCCAACCTTTCAGGTAGCAGCCAAGCACCTTGTACTTTTGCATCACCCAGGGGCTCCCAAGAGTAAATCACAAAAGCAGCTCATTGGTTCTTATCCCAGCTCCCCTTTTCATTTGCTGTTTGGCTTTGATTGAGTCATTTCACCTCTCTGAACATCATTCAGTATCCACATCAGTAGAATGAAATAATATCAGTAGCCTTTACCTCATACGGTTGTTGTGAAGATTGCTGATAAAGTATTTAGTACCCAACACATAAACAAGCTAGATGCTTTTACTCCTGTGATAACAATGTGGAAGATTCATAAACAGACGATGCAGCAAGCTCTCACACCAGAATGCCTTTGTATGCTGGCCATGTCACCTACCAGCTGTGTGACCTTGGATCCATTATCTTACCTCTCTGGGCTTCATGTGAGGATTAAACCAAAAATGCCTAGCCCATAATGCATGCTAAATAAATATGATAAAAATTCAGCCATCTGAAAGCTATACACCAAAAATAAGTAATGCCACTTTCTGCCTTTGGTATATAAACATGTTAGTTATGATTATTGATGAAATGACTATTATGATAAGTCATTTTATTGGTAAACAGTCCTGATGTGGCGCTGTGGGTTAAAGCGCTAGACTGCAGTCATTCGAACTGCAAGGATGGCAGTTCAAGCTCACCAGTCACTCCTTGGAAACCCTGTGCAGGGTTGCTATGTGTCGTAACCGACTCAACGGCGCTTAACAACAACATTACAATATAGTAAAGGAACAATGGAAGGAGGTGCAGTAGATACAGGGAACCTGGCCAGAAACGGATTCACTAGCTGTGTGATGGAGCTCTCTGAGCCTCAGTTTCCCCAGTTGGAAATATGAGCTGTTGCCAGGTGCTGTTCAGTCTGTTCCCACTCATAACCACCCTTCGTGCCACAGAAGGAAACACTGCCTGATTCTGCACCATCCTCACAATTGTTGCTGCATTTGAAGCCCATTGTTGCACCCACTGGGGCTAATGCTTGTTTTATAAAGCTACTGTTAACAAGGAGTGAAAAACAAATGTAACATGAACTCAGCAATTTACCTTGTGTCTTATGATGTGCTGGTTGGCTGGTTATGTGCCGTGGAGTCGGTTCCAACTCACAACGACCCTGCACAGGGTTTCCTAGGCGGTAAATCCTTACAGGCACAGAAGGCCTCATCTTTCTCCAATGGAGTGGCTGGTAGATTCGAACTGCTTTCCTTGTGGTTAGCAGCCCAACTCTTAACCCACTACACAACCAGAGAGCCCCTGTAATACTAGGCATATTATTTTATACCAAACTCATTTAACTCGCAAAACAAGTCCGTTTCTTAGATTGGAATTGTTATTGTTGTTGATTGCTGTCGCAAGTCCAACTCCTGACAAGCCTATGTTTACTGAAGAACATAAGGTTTTCAGGAGTAGATCACCAGACCTTTTTTCAAAGGCACATCTGGGTGCACTCAAAAATGCCAATAGCAGATCACCAGACCTGTTTTCCGATGCAACTCTGGGTAACTTGGAATCTTCCACCTGTAGGCTAGCAGTCAAACACTTAACCATTTGCCCACCCAGGGTCTCTTGTAGGTTAGTATCTGTATACTATTTTTATACATTAGGACACCCAGAGATTAAATGACATCTCATGGTCACCCAGCTAGGAAGTAAGCAGAAGCAAGAGCTGAACCCAGGTCTCATTGACACCAAAGATAATGATTCCTTATTGGAATTTAGTAAATGAAGTTTCCTTTTCCTGGAACGACCTTGGTGGGCCTCAGTTTATGCATTTATTACACAAAAATGAAGAATAATGCTCATTAAGAACCCATTCGATTTAGTTCTATTATGTTCCACCACCAAGCATGATGCTGGGAGATATGGCCTGGTCCTTCCTAGCCAACCTCTATGACTCGACTTACCAGTTTGGGGCAGGTTTTTGGGCTCGGTTCCTCTGACTGATCCTGGCTGGAGTTGCCTGAGCTTCCGTCTGTGTCCCTCCTCGATACAGCAGAATTAGATCTTCTTCGCCCCCTGACTACTCCAGGTTTCAGGGAGGTGCTGAGATTGGCCACAGGCTCCAGAGAGCTGGTGTGGGTGTCACTAGGGGCAGGGAGTTTTTGCTTCCACCTTTCCCAGGACCTTGCCTGAGCCTTGACCTCCAGCTCTTCCTGGCTGTGTGAAGTGGTAGGGCGGTCATCGCTGTTAGTCCCCATGAGGTGCTCCACTTCTGGCCACGTTATAGACGTCTCTGCAGACATTCTCAGGTACAGCGTGGGGCTCTGTGGAGGATCCTCTGGAGCTGGCCTCAGGGCCTCCCTTCCACTGAGCAGCGGGGGCCCAACAGGGTCACATGGGCTTCCTGGCTGAATGCCATCTCCTGCGGCAGGCAGATAGTCACATTTCTCAGCGAGGAAGCCCAACCCACCCACCTAACACCTAAGTGTCTTTGGGAGAAGAGGACTATGAGGTACTCCTGAGAATTCCAGGTTAGTGCTTTGTGGGAAGGCATCTCAAAGACTGATGCTGTCCCCAGCAGGGCTCTTACCAAATCACAGGAAGCCACTAGCCCTCTCTCTGTTCTCCACAAGTCCTGTACACCCTACTTGTTTTCCTTGCTAGACCTTGCCACAATGGCAGGCCCCTTCAGGGAGCTCCTCTCTGCTGAAGGTGGAGCTCCTTCATCACACACTGGGGAACTCAGCCCATGTTCTCCAGCCTAAACCTCTAGCTTCCTCCTTCACCTTTACTGGTCTCTCCCTGCCAACCAAAGTTCTCACTTACATGCTACCAAGATTCCTGAACCAACTTCAGTTAAGACATCTGGTGGAGAAAGGTGTTGCCTTCTGGATGGAGATCAAGCCCTCCCCTGTTCTGTCCCCAGTGTGGACAGAGCTTGAGAACAGGCATTGCAAGCTGGCTCTGTCCTACAGCAAGCAGCTCCAGGACCACCACATGGGTCCTGGTGCCAGAGCCTTTGGTCTACAGGCTGGGAGCTAATACCTGCATGTGTTTCTTTCGTGAGGGCATATTTCCCATGACCTGCTCCACATAGCCCATCCAGCACCAGAACTGGCATGGAATAGACTCCTTCCACATCCTCCTGGAAAGGCCCAGAGCCGCCTCGAGGACTGAGAACAGGGTCTTCTGTTCTGGAACCTTCTGCAACTTCCTCCTGGAACATGCCTGTCCACCTATAGGGGTCAGAAGCAGAACACAGGAGACTTCAAGGAGGAAGGTTTGACCTGCAGAACACCAGTCCAGTGGGAACCTGGAGGCAACTTCCCTTTTAGATGGCGTCCCCACATCCTGAGGCCCACAGGAGACAGCACCCAGGGATGTAAGTACCCCACCAGGTCATAACTTCCAGGTTGACAGAGGGAAGTCCTGCCTCCAGAAAAGGCTGAGCTACAACGACCGTGAGGTCTTCCCATTCGAAAGGGTTTCCAGTCTCACTTAAATATAATTAATTTATAATTGTAAACTACCGTTCATCGGTTACTTAGATGCATTATTTCATTTCATGTTGAAAACCACAGGTACTTGAGACTCAGAGACGCTAGGCAACTAATGCAAGAATACGCAAGAAGAGCCTGGATTCTCTCCCCAACTCAACACCTAGCTCTAAATCACTCCGCAAGGAGCAGACACTGAATGGGGTATTTCTCAACCGCTCTTCCCTCCCTCTCAAGTGGGTCCTGTTCTGATAGACATCCCACCGAGGATCCCAGGCCTGTCCTGGGAACCCGACACCACCACCAAGGAACCCGACCTCAGCCGTTCTAGTCTCTCCCCTGCTGTCCCTCCGCTCCCAAACCCCACTTTCACCCCAAAGCTGGGAAAGGACGAGTATCACGTGAGGAGAGGAACCTCAGAAACAGATGGGGGCGGAGTCCCTGGTGAGGCGGAAAGGGCGGCTCCCCGAACGTGATGACGTCGAGGTCCGGCAGGGGGCGCTAGTTCCCTCCTGGGGGCTTCTTGGAGGAGGTGCTAATTGCAAAGGCCCCCTACGGAATCTCGAATAGGCAGAGAGGCGTAGAGTAGGGAGAAAGGGGCTACGGGTTCGAGATGGCCAGTCCGAAGTGGTGAAGGGCTTTAAAGCCCCCTGAGACTTTAACCTGATCCTAGGACAATGGGGAGTTACTCAAAGTGCCTGAACCCTTAGGAGAATGTGAGAATTCAATGTAGATTTTTTCCTTTATCATTTATTATTATATCCTAATATAGTTTGTGTAGATAGAGGTACATATTCGAGCTAAATGTTGTTGTTATTAAGTGCTGTCGAGTTGGTTTCGACTCTTAGAGACCCTGTAAAATAGAAGGATTTTAAATGAAAAAATTTAAAAACTTCCTCTCAACCCTCAGCCTTAAAAGTCTTTTTTTTTTTTTTAAGTTTGTTTTTTAAATTTTTCTGTTATTTTCATAACTAAATATTATGCTCATACTTCTATTACTTGATATATAAACTCTAACAGAATGCTCCTGAGAAGTCAAGATGTTGAGACTTCATCTCATGTATTTTGGACATGTTATCAGGAGAGACCATCCCCCGGAGATGGACAACATGCTTAGTAAAGAAGGTGGTGGTGATGTGCCATGGAGTCGGTTCCGACTCATAGCGACCCTGTACAGGGTTTTCGAGGCTGTGAATCTTTACAGGGAGTAGAAAGCCTCATCTTTCTCCTGCAGAACAGTTGGTAGTTTCGAACTGCTGACCTTAAGGTTCACAGCCCGATTTGTAACCACTACGCTACCAAAGCAGAGCTCCTTTAGTAAAGAAGAGGGTCAGTGAAAAAGAGGAAAACCCTTGATAAGACATACTGAAACAGTGGCTACAACAATGGGCTCAAAATTGGAACAATTGTGAGGATGGTGTAGGACCAGGCAGTGTTTCAATCTATTATGCATTGGGTTGCTGTGAGTAGGGATCAACCAAACAAGTATCCAAAACATCCTTGGGTCTCTACTGTGATGATTTCACTATCCATACCTCCCCACTTCCCCCCCCCCTTTTTTTTTTCTTATTTATATTTAGAATTTTAGTTTTTCTTTTGGTTCCTTTGATCACTTTGAATAGTGTTCTTACTGTCTGTTTCTTCATTGGCTTGTATCTCTTGACTCTCTTCTGTGCTGATTTTCTTTGATCTCCCTTACCACTTCTGCCTTCCTCCTTCAGCTTTTACTTTTACATCATCAAGGTTTATACTGTTTACATTTTACTTTTGTGAAAGATGGTTCATTTTGCTGTACTTTGCCTGTGTGTTGATTCTTAATGTTGGAACCAAATTACATTTATAACATTGGTGGTTGGTAATTATGTGCCATGGATTCGGTTTTGACTCATAGCAATCCTACATAGGCTTTCTCAGGTGGTAAATACAAGAGCAGAAAGCCTCATTTTTCTCTCATGGAATGACTGATAGATTCGAACTGCTGACCTTGTGGTTGGCAGCCCAACTCGTAACCCACTATCCTACCAGGGCTCCTTATAAGCATTTATGCTTATGTAAATACTTCACTACAGAGACAGAGATTTGTGAGTCTTGTTGAGTAGGCAATGGAAGCCTCAGAAAGCCGATACAGGGTCGCTATGAGTCGGAACCCACTCAACGGCACACAGCAGCAGCAGCAGCAGTAGCAAGTCTATGTGAGACTTCATCTCTTGTACTTTAGGCATGCTGTCAGAAGGGACCAGTCCCTGGAGAAGGACATCATTCTTGGTAAAATGGAGGGTCATTGAAAAAGGGAAAGACCCCCAACCGATGGACTGACAGAATGGCAGCAACAATCGGCTTAAACATAGCAACAGTTGTGAGGTTGGCACAGGACTGGGCAGTGTTTCTTTCTGTTGTGCATAGGGTCGTTATACGTCAGAAGTGACTCAATGGCACCCTACCAACAACAAGCCTGTGCCACTATAAGGAGACCTTGAAGAGCTTTGGCTCACGTGGATTTCATGCAGTGAACTACAGCACCACAGTTAGAAGGAATAAATTACCTCTATCTGTGAATGGAGTCATGGTGTGGCGCTGTGGGTTAATGTGCTGGATTGCATAGTTGGTTTGAACTGCAAGGTCAGCAGTTCAAGCTCACCCTATACAGGGTCATTATTGGTCAGAATTGACTTCACAGCATTCAACAACAACAACAACACCAGCATGAATACACCTCTAAGATACAAGGGGGCTTCGAAAAGTTCATGGAAAAATTCCATTGTATTTTAATTCCATTTTTCCACAAACTTGATGCAAGTGCATGTGTGTGCCCTATGAGACTTCCCTGGTGCATGTAGCCTTAACACAAAGAGCAACCCCAACCTCTTATTTTTCAATGAACTTTTTGAAGCCCCTTTGTATAATGTTAAAAAAAAAAAAGAAAAAAGAAAAGACATGATAATGTTAAAAAAACACAAAACTAAGGGATTGTACTATCTTCATGATTTTTCTACAATGCTAAAATTTCTAAAATATGGTGGTGGTGGTTGGTGATTATGTGCCGTGGAGTTGATTCTGACCCATAGCGACCCTGTATGGGGTTTCCAAGGCTGTAAATCTTTATGGGAACAGAAAGCCTCATCTTTCTCCTGCGGAACAACTGGTAGTTTTGAACTGCTGACCTTGCGGTCCACAGCCCGATTTGTAACCACTACTCTACCAGAGCTCCTTAAATATAGTTTATATAAAAGAACATTTCTAACTGAAATGTGAATCATATAGAAAGCTGTTATGATCTGGCTACTAGAATGACAAGTAAGGTAACAGTTGAGATTAATGTCATCAAGATGACAGTTAAAATAACTATCTTTAGATGACAATTAAAATAATATATATTTTCTTAAGATGAGAAGACCTTCCGCTATATGGAATGTTCTTGAGAAATTCTCAAGAACAGATTTGTTGCATTAGACACAAATGACCAAAGCCCATAAGAGTTGTGGGATGACAGCAAGCACAGCATACAGGACAGACGCAAAAGGTTTTTGCTTTCTTAAGAAGACTAGAAAGAAAGAAAAGATCAAAATGGATGTCAGAAGAGACTCTGAAACTTACTTTCCAGCATAGAGATGCTAAAGCAAATGGAAGAAATGAGGAACTAAAAGAGCTGAATAGAAAATTTCAAAAGGCAGCTCAAGAAGAGAAAGTCAAATATTATAATGAAATGTGCAAAGACCTGGAGTTAGAAAACCAAAAGGGAAGAGCATGATCAGCATTTCTCAAACTGAAAGAATGGAAGAAAAAATCCAAGCCTCACCTTGCGGCATTGAAGGATTCTATGGGCAAAATATTGAATGATGCAGAACACATCAAAAAAAGAGAAAGGAATATACAGAGTTGCTGTATCAAAAAGAAATGGCCAATGTTCATCTGTTTCAAGAGGTAACATATGATCAAGACCAAACATAGTGAAGGAAGAAGTCCAAGCTGCATGGAAGGCATTCACAAAGGACAAGGCTTCAGGAATTGATGGAATAAAAATAGAAATCTTATAAAAAAGTGATCCAGCATTGGAGACACTCACTTCTCTTTGCTAAGAAATCTGGAAAACAGCTACCTGACTAAACTGACTAGAAGAGATTCATATTGGTCCCCCATTCCAAAGAAAGGTGATGCAACAGAACGCAGAAACCATCAGACAATACCATTAATCTCATCTGCAAGTAAAATTTTGCTAATGATAATTCAAAACTGACTGCAACAGTACATTGACAGGGAACTATCAGAGATTCAAACCAAATTCAGATGAGGACGTGGAATGAGGGATATCATTGCTGATGTCAGATGGATTTTGGCTGAAAGCAGAGACTACCAAAGAGATGTTTAACTGTATTTCATTGACTATGCAGAGGCTTACAACTGTGTGGATCATGACAACCTATGGAGAACATTACATAGTAATGTAGTAACGGAGAAGAGATTGAAGTTGTCAAGGATTCCGTTCTTCTTGGATCAACTATCAACACTCACGGAAGCAGCAGTCAAAAAATCAAACAACATATTGCATTAGGCAAATCTGCTGCACAGGA